TCGCTCTCCTCTCTCGGACTTAGAGAGGAACATTTTCATTATTTGCTGAGATTGGGATGTCAATCCCTCTGCCCCTGACCCAAGTTTGGAATGCTTTGGGTTTTATTGGGGCAATGATTACTGGGTTATCTCCCCAATGTCACTCCAAGTCTTTTCTACACCTCCATCCTTATGCCTTCAGGCATGGATTGGATTTGATATCCAGGACAGTGCCATGGGAGCTGCTTACCACTTCTTCCCCATTGTTCACCCACTCCTCCCTCCACTCTAAATGTGTCTGTCTGTGTTTACTGATTCACATCATTTTCTGGATGTGCTTCTTGCACTCAGGCTATTTACCTCCTCGTTCCTCCCTGCTGTCTTTCCAATTACCCATTCTCCTTCATGTAAAGTCTGGAGAGAAATAGAGGACAGGTGTTTGTATGTGTGAGTGGTGGTGCAGTGACGCTGTCCTAGCCACCTTGCTCCAGGTCACTGGGGTCATGGTGCTTCAGCAGGTGCCCCTAACCCCACTCTAACCCCACCCTAACCCCACTGACTCACCCCCCTGACCCAATTTCACATAACCACTTCGGACACAAGCTAGCTTTTCCATGTTGTCTGAATATGAGTGGATAACTGAGCCAGACTGTAATACATTTAAAATACTGGCCAACACCTTGTTGTTGTAATAGTGATAATTATTGATTTAACCTGTTTATTGATATTACCTGTTTATTGTTCTTTGTGGAAAATATGAGATTTAGGAAAATAATTTTGGAAATGACTTATGAATGAATTATTATTATTATTATTATTATTATTATTATGTGCAACAACAGCTACAAATACTACTATAATGGCAGTTATTAATATTATTATTATTATTATTATCATTATTATTGTTGTTGTTGTAAATGAAACATTTTTAAATAGTTTATAAGCTTTTCACTTCTACATTTTCTACATAGACTATAAAAGAGGCCAAAAAATTATAGTCATGTGCAAAAGTTTTGACACCCCGAGTGGAGTTACACATTTTCTAAGTGAAATCAAGTGAATTTTTTACGTGAACAGTTTAACTTCTACAGACGTAAACATGACATTGATGTCGACAAATAAAAAAATATATACAAACATATAAAATAAAAAATGTATATGCCCAATTTTATGTTTTATTTTACTCCTAATGTGTTAAATTTGGGAAATACATCGTAATTGTGCATTAAACTGTGCAGAAGTGTGTTCTCTGTTAACTTATTTTCACTTAGAAAATCGTCAGAACATGTTCCAAACTTTTACACATAATGAAGCACATTAAAGTGTTTTCAGGCCTCAGCATTTTAGCCTTTTTAATGCTGTATTTCCAACAGTGTGGGCTGAAGAGGGGAAGGAGAGAGAGTGAAAAGATTCTTGGACTGAAAAAAAAAAGACTATCTCTCCATAAGAAGGCAAACAGCACTTTGATTGCCTCTTCATTCGCGCGCAGGCTGCTCTGGGTTTAGTTTGTATTCGCCTGAGCTCTAATCCACCGTGTTGGGGTGGTGTTGGGCAGCTCAGCGCCACTCAGCCCCGCACTTCATTAACCCCGAGCCGGGGACAATCCTGCAGGAGAACCGGGGATTTACCCCCACCACGGGCAGAAAAGATCCCCCCCACACCCCACCCCTCCTCCTTTTCACATGCAAAACCCTCCTGTGCGTGTTTTAAGGAGCCCGGAGGAGCTTTGCTGCAATCAGCTCCACTCCTTCATGAAGATGGTGGGCTCGAACTGGTGTCTATCATCGGTGGGATTCTTAGCCAAAAATTGTGATTCGTAACGGCGATGGTCATATTTTGTCTGTGGATGAGCGCACGCGGCCAGCGCCGCGAGCCTATAACCGCTCCGCTGTACTTGCAGCTCATCCTCACCCCGTTATCGACTTTCAATTAAAAGCCATTACTGCCTTTTGTCTGCTCGTTAATGTGGCCATTCAGCGGTCGTGTCAGACACGGAGCGCGCTTTAAGGGCAGTTTGATGCGCAGGGGGGAGAAAGGGGAGGGGCAGGGGGGGCTGTTCCGCTGAGCAGCTGCCCCTCTATCCTCCTTACCCCAACGCCCAGCCACCCTCCCTCCCCAACTGCCCCCCCTCCGGCCCGCTGACCAGCTGCTGGAGCCTCTTGGCAGCGAGCAGGCGAGCAGCACCGCGCAAGAGGAAAAAAAGGGGGGATGGAAACAAATGCCATTTTCCAAATGGGATCATTTAGGGCACTTAAAACAATTACACACTCTGGTGACCATTAATATTTCATCCACGTGTTGGTTATGGAAACGCGATGATGAGCGCTGACACTGGTTAAAAAAAAATGATGACAAGAGCATGTGTCCACTCTGTTGCTGGAAAATGTCAGCTGTTATCCATTTCCAGACGTGAACTATATGAAAAAAAAGGTTTAGAAACTCGCTCGCGCAGCTCTATTCCTGGCCCGTGATTAGAGTGATATTTGTGGTCTAATCTATTAATAAGAGATAGTGGAGCTAAACTTTAAAGTATGAGGGGCTGAATTAAGTTTGCTTCGGTCTGTAAAGCCCCCTGAAAGTCTCTGAAAGGTTAACGTGGCGAAGGCTCTCCCCTCTGCCTCACATCCTTATTAACTTTTTTTTCTTTCTTTTTTTTTTTTAGGTTTGACAAATTAAATCCACCATGCTAACCAAATAGTGCGAGCTTTGAGCAAAGTGTCTGACAGTCGTGTTGAAAAATTATTCAAACATATTTTTGCACTAATAGAATTTTTGGAAATGTAATTTTTGATTTCGCTTCTATAGTGGTATTTTCCCTAAGCAATCTGAGTTCAATTCCATTAGACGTGTCGGTTTTCTCGTTTTCTTTATTGGTTTATATTAATTCATTCTCATTTTCATTGCTTTTATTTTTAAAATGTGCCCATTTCTCACTGAGATGTTTCACCACGTTCCGATGTACAGAATTAAGATACAGGTCCATGTTGCATCAAAACGTACTCAGTCTGAGGAGATTTAGATGCTCAGTTGCTCTCCATCGAGTCGAGTCTCTCCTGAGATGGACTCTAAAGCAGCCTCACCCTTTTGCAGCCATCAGGAATGCAGCATCAGTCATCATCACTGTGCGATTGTTTGCTTGACTGATCAGCCAATTAATTAAGATTTACTGTCGTGTTACTGAACGCTCTAAACTATAAATTTGTCCTCGAGGCTGAATTCATTAACAGAACCCATTTTTCCTCCTCTTTTTCCTTGTACGCAGCTTCAACCTCCAGGAAAATAAGCCTGCAGATGTCAGAGGCAGTGCCGTCCCCGCTGCGTCTCTCGAGTGTCCTTGTTATTAATCCCTTTAACTAAATCTGAGGGTTTGAGCAGTTGAGGCATTACGCACGGTCATGCTCGTGGTACTGGCTGCAGAGTCAGGTTTGATGAGGTTTTCTGGCTATGAAAACACATTTCAAGTGGCACTGCGTTTCATTCGTCCACTCTCCACGTTCTTCACAGCATCACGTCACGTCTTTTAGTGAAAGATCTTTATTAGCACATTTATAAAAGTAATTCTCCTTACTTCAAGTCATGCGTATTCAGCAGCTGTAAGATTTTCTTTTTTTTTACAAAGTTCATACCGCTAAAGCACAAGGGGGTCTAAAGACAAAATCATCTGGAAATACGAGAATCACTTCACAAAATCAATATTCTCAATATACACCTTCACCAAAAGAATGACAAGATATTATTTCAACGGCTTTATACAGAATAATGCACAAAGGTCTGCTCTAACACATCGGGTTGGGGGCAGTAGGCAGGACACTGTTTAAATGATGTTAACCACAATATCAGTATCAGCGAGTGCTTGGCATGGGTTGACACCCAGATAATATTTAATTTGTAATATTTTTAGTTCTTTTTTTCCTGTCCGAAAGCCCCGTTTGCTCTAGGTGCATGCGCACGCGTTGAGTGCCCTTCATGCGTCCTTTCCGCACCCGTTACGCACTCGCTGTGTGCCCCTTTTGCGCCCTTTACGCATGACATTTACGCATGCCTTACGCATCCTTTACGCATCCTTCACGCGCTCTTTTTGCGCACCTTATCCATCCTTTGCGCACGCCTTATGCGCCCATTACGCTCCCTTTACGCATCCATTACGCGCACCGTGTGCCAGATGTTACACAGTAACTGTTATGGCGGTTTGCAGCACAAATCCTCTTTATGCTCCCAAGCTGTGTCCGAAACTGTGCCCTATTCACTATATGGTGCCCTATTTTGGGGTTCCACCGTTTTGTAGTGGTGTCCGAAAACATAAATTAGATGATACCCATAATGCACACCGTTGTTTGGTTTTAAGGTTCTTGTCTAAAGAGGATTAACAAGCCCAGGTACAGTGGCAGCGTCTCCACAGACCTCTCTTTACACCTGTTACAGACGGAGGGAGGCTCTTCTGATGTCTTCTAGTGTCCGAAATCATTTACTACCAGTTCTGTTCCCTATGTTCTAGATGGTGATCCAGATTTTCAATGTAGGGTATAGTGATTAGTGGACCGTTTCGGACACGGCAATAGTCATCATTCCTTCAGTGCTCCTAAAGATCCGTCCTGCTTCAGTGCATTCGGTTGTCTCGCGTTAAGCCGTTACAGACGCCAAACGGGCGTGTTTCTCTTTACTCTTGATTGGCTTGAGGAATCGGGTTGAGAGTAATCCATGAGAGTTATTGACATTTTTGGAGGAGTTTGGAGTTTGGACGTGCCTGTCATCATCCTCACCTGTGGAAAAAAGTGACCCTAATTTGCCTTTGAGACAAATATTTCTATGTACACGCATCCTGATTTTTTGATCATTTGACAGACTTAAAAGAAGCTGTTGTCTCGGACATATGAAAAAAAAATGCTTTTTGAACATTTATGTACAGGGGCTTTCCGCGTTAATTATCAAGGCGCGTGACTGTCACTGCTTAACCGATAATAGTAATAATAACAATAACAATAATAATAATAATAATGTGCCCCTGATGTGTTTTCCTTTGTCGTCATTATTGCGTCCTTTATAAACAATGTTCTTTTTTTTCCAAAACATAAATGGTAAACAGTAGGCCTAGCTATATAAATATATCATTTAAATACAAAGGGGAAATAAATATTTCAATAAATTAGGACCGACAGTGGTAATCATTTCACCAACCAGAGTTTGCTGCTATGCCATTGAGTCCATTGAGTGAGTACAGTGGCTTTAGGTTATATCTCCATACTTTTGTCACCGGTTGGTTAAAACTTGTCTTTTTTTCTCTCTCGTTGTTCGTAGAGTCCTAAGCTGCCAGTGTTTGAGTTTATTTTTCGATAAAGTCCCGCGCGTGCTGCTGTTCATCGTGGTGGGGTGGGTCTAGGGAGCACTCCGGACAGCGGGGGTAGAGGAGGGGGAGGTGGAGGCGGTGGAGGCTCACTAGCGCCGCCCTGCAGGCCGTGCAGGAGGATGCGCGGGACGAGGGGGCGCTGCAGGGCCGGGGGCGGGGCCGAGGCTCCTCTGTACAGGTAGAGAGCTGCTCCGGGGTCCAGGTTGGACACCAGGCTCTGGGGGTAGAAGTAGGGCGAGGGGAACATCCTCTGCAGCGCAGAATAATTCCCCGCCTCCGCCAACAGTTCCAGTCCCACCGCGGTCTGCCTCTTCCACTTCGTCCTTCAGCGCAGTTGCGTTGTGGAGAGGAAAGAGGTGAAGCACAGGTGAACGTTAGTTTTTTGTCTACCGATTTGGAGAACAAAGGTGTTAAATGATGCGTGATGATATGTTCATGGAGTAAGACATAGTTTAATTCATTAATGTCCTTATCTGGCATTTGAAGTGATATTTTAAACTACATGGCTGAAAAGTGAGTCTTTATAATTAATCGTATTTATATTAGGCTTTTGATCACGTGGTTTGGCCTCTGATTAAAAAAAAAAAAAAAACAATAGAAAATGCAGATTTGATTGTATAGGAGTAAGAAAAATACGTCCAATAATAACAAAAATAATTAAGCACGGTTAGGTGTTCATCCAAAGCATAACTATAATGTAATCACTTTAGACCAATCAGAACAGCTTCTGTGGCTTGTTTCCTTATTAAATGTAGTTGAATGGGTTAATTAGTCTGGATCAGTTAAAGGAATTCTGGAGGGAAGCTGCAAAAATGTTTTTTTTTCTCGTAATGTTTCCTTTTTTGAATCTCAATTTCTGTGTTCTACACTGTTAGAAATAAAGGTTCTGTGCAGGTACATTTTTCGTTCATCAAGGTACAAACAGAGTAAATGTTCCCTCAAAGGTACAACAGTGGTTTTAAGGTCCAACTGTGAACTTTAAGTAGGTTTTCCCAGGTAAAAAAATACATATTTGTACATTTTTGCTTTTCATAACGTAATTTTAAACAGAACAATAAAATAAAAAGCCTGGAGACGAGACGGGGTGTGTGGAGTCAATACAACATAATGTCAATGGATTATGGCACTGACTAAAGGTACTGAGATGTACCCTTGAGGTGACCACCCCAGTGACATTAGGGGTCCTGCCCCAGTGACAGTTTAGTACCTGTTTTTCTGTGTACACTGTGTTCGCACATTGTTGGAGTTTAAGTAAACTCGCCTTTGCAATGCAATGTAAGCAGTTTAATTTACAGCTAAGACGAGGAGCTTTAATGCAGTTTGTGTTCATTTCAAATTTATTTTCAAATAATTCAGTTGAGTGCGCTTGTTATGCTCTAGTCGACTGACTGATGAAGCCAAAACTGAAGTTGAATGTGGGGATAATAGAGGAGGCCAGCAGAAGAAGAGAAACCAGTTGTGATTTTGCCCTTCCCATCTGAGTGGAGGGTAAACTGGAACTTGGCAGGTCCGTGTTGTCTCGCCATATGGTGCACTGGGCGCCTCAAAGTTCCACATAAAAGTCTAAAAGTTTGCAAAACCGCAGCCCAAATAAATATACCACAAATCAGAAAAGAGTTTCCTCCTCCAGCTGTAAGAGCACGGACAAAGGGTGCGCTGACCATTTAATAATTCATAATTATAATAATTGTCTAACTGTTTAGTTAGAGCCGTTAATAATTCATGCAGCATGGATGCACCGATGTATAATTCATGCCTGAAAGTGTTGTGTTTTCTGTATTTATTTCATAAGCGATGATTTAGCTGGACAAAGGCCTGTGGAGAGAGGAGAGTTTGTGGAAATCCTCTCTGAGGGCTCGAGCTGCTGGGACAGGATTTACTGGTTTCATTCGTATCTCGGCTCTCTGGTTCATTCAGCGGAGTGTTTCAGAGCCGAATTACACACTAATGAGGTCAGAACAAACTGGTATTAAGATCATTCTGTGTGTGTCTGTTTTTAACGGAGCATGAAATTAAATTAGATTTTTTTCTAGTAACTGCAGAAAATCCACAGCGTGCTTTTTCGTGTATTTATTTGTTTGTTTTATTATTTTATGAGATGAAATGTGAAATGAAACCATGCTGTCCATCACTGGATTATTAAAAACAAAAACAAAAAATATATATTTTTGTGTTTTGATGATTTTCCTGTTTTGTCATAATTTTAGTTTTAGTGTAATTCAAATCTATTACGATCTCGGTTCACATTGACTGGAGTTTCAACTCAACATATTGACTTACATTTTTAAATCAAATAAAATCATGGTTTATTTCCTGCTTTGTTTTCTGTTCTATTTTCTAGCTTAAAATGGGATTTTCTTTCTTTCTTGTAAAAATGTGCTGAATTTTACAAATTTCACCCGAAATCAATTTAATGTAAAAATGAGTTACAAAATAGTTTAAATAGCATTTAAAATATCAGGTTTGTTGAGACTGCAACAGTGAGCAAACCAGTATATACCCAGATTATATATATATATATATATATATATATATATATATATATATATATATATATATATAATATCTATATTAGAGAAAGTGCAGAAATAAAGGAAAAGAGTGTTTTTTCTTTCACAGTGCAGACCACCTCAGTTCTGTCACCAGCTTTTTACGACCCCTTTTAAAATCTATTTCTGTATTTATTTATTTATTTTTTTTGCTCAAATGTATTTAAGTGGACTTTCTTTAAAGTTGCCAACCATTCTAAACATTCTCATCAGCTTTAAAATGAAGTGAAATGTTCTTTCTTGTAAAATGCAGCTGGTGGGCTACTTAGTATCTTTTTACGAACGTAAAGTAATTTTTTTAGTTTTGGAAAAAAATATATTTTTGACGAGTCATATCATCGAATAGGCTTCATTTGTGGTTGAATGGCCGCTTTTCACTCTGACAGTGTGTGGGGTCAGTGTGCAGTGGTTTTATACCTGCGGTTCTGGTACCAGGTCTTGACCTGTGTGTCGGTCAGGTTGAGGGAGGCCGCGAGCTCCATGCGGTCCTGCACGCTCAGGTATTTCTGCCGCTCGAAGCTGCGCTCGAGCTGCGCCAGCTGGTGGTCGGTGAAGGCCGTGCGGGCTTTGCGGGGCTTTTTGAGGCGGACCTGAGGACTGTCCCTGCTGCTGGAGATCTCCCTCTCAGCCTCGTCCTTCACTGCAGAGACACGAGCGATAAGAGCAGAGTGAGGGACAGAGAGAAAGGAAAGGACACCCACTGAATGAACAAACCAACGAACGAAAGAACGAACGAACGAACGAACGAATGAATGAATGAATGAATGAATGAATGAATAGTTAATAAGCCTTAATAAACATTAAGCAAAGACTGTCAATGAAAACACTGACGAAACATAAAATTAGACTTATTTTTAAAAAATAAAGCTTTATTTATCCAAAATAGGCACAATAAAAGCAACAAATTGTATGTAAAATTTATTATAATTGAAGTAGAAATGTACAATTGGATTTCATTTGTTTTACATGTTTTGTGGTTTGCATTTTTGGGAAGTAGGGGCATTTTGATCTTTTTTTCAGATCCTTTAAAATTCTGTAAAATCAATCTTTAATACCCTCCTACACATATTTTACTGAGTATTAAATGTCAAGGTTTTTATCACAGAACAAGGCTGTGTTTTAGTCATGGACACTAAGAGACATTATGAAAGTCCATTGCCGCTGTTCTCTCTATTCACTGCTGTTCTCTCCAGAGTTTTAGTGTGTATTTCAGTATGTGAGCACAGGCTGTCTGTACTTCTCTCTCTCTCTCTCTGAGGCTGTTTCTCTGTGCTGTGTTGTATAAGGCTGTGTAAAACTGTGTTTTTCTGAGCTGTGCTGTGTAAGGCTTTTCTCTGTGTGTAAGACTGTGTTTCTCTGAGCTATGCTGTGAGGCTGTGTTTCTCTAAGCTGTGCTCTGTGAAGCTGTGTTTCTCTGAGTTGTGCTTCTCTAAGCTGTGCTCTGTGAAGCTGTGTTTCTCTGCTGTGTGAGGCTGTATTTCTCTGAGCTGTGCTCTGTGAGGCTGTGTTGCTCTGAGAAGCTGTGTTTCTCTGAGCTGTGCTCTGTGAAGCTGTGTTTCTCTGCTGTATAAGACTGTGTTTCTCTGAGCTGTGCTCTGTGAGGCTGTGTTTCTCTGAGCTGTACTCTGTTAAGCTGTGTTTCTCTGAGCTGTGCTCTGTGAAGCTGTGTTTCTCTGCTGTGTGAGGCTGTGTTTCTCTGAGCTGTGCTCTGTGAAGCTGTGTTTCTCTGCTGCGTGAGGCTGTGTTTCTCTGAGCTGTGTTCTTTGAGGCTACACTTCTCTGAGCTGTGGTCTGTGAGCCTGTGTTTCTTTGAGCTGTGGTCTGTGAGGCTGTGTTTCTCTGAGCTGTGGTCTGTGAGGCTCTGTTTCTCTGGGCTGTGCTGTGTGAGGCTGTGTTCACTCTGAGCTGTGCTGTGTAAGGCTTTTCTCTGTGTGTGAGGCTGTGTTTCTTGGAACTGTGCTCTGTGAGACTGTGATTCTCTGAGCTGTGCTCTGTGAAGCTGTGTTTCTCTGAGCTGTGCTCTGTGAAGCTATGTTTCTCTGAGCTGTGCTCTGTGAGGCTGTGTTTCTCTGAGCTGCACTCTGTGAGGCTGTTTATTCTGGGCTGTGCTGGGTAAGAATTTTCACTGTGTGTAAAGCTGTGATCACTCTGACCTGTGCTGTAAGGTTTCTCTCTGTGTTAGGCTGTGTTTCTCTGAGCTGTGCTCTCTAAGGCTGTGTGTCTCTGAGCTGTGTTCTGTGAGGCTGTGTTTCTCTGAACTGTGCTGTGTAAGACTTTGTTTCTCTGAGCTGTGGTCTGTGAGCCTGTGTTTCTCTGAGCTGTGCTCTGTAAGGCTGCGTTTCTCTGACCTGTGGTCTGTGTTTCTTTAAGCTGTGGTCTGTGAAACTGTGTTTCTCTGAGCTGTGGTCTGTGAAACTGTGTTTCTCTGAGCTGTGCTCTGTGAAACTGTGTTTCTCTGAGCTGTGGTCTGTGAAACTGTGTTTCTCTGAGCTGTGGTCGGTGAGCCTGAGTTTCTCTGAGCTGTGGTCTGTGTTTCTCTGAGCTGTGGTCTGTGTTTCTCTGAGCTGTGGTCTGTGAGTCTGTGTTTCTCTGACATGTGGTCTGTGTTTTTCTTATCTGTGGTCTGAGAGGCTGTGTTTCTGTGAACTGTGCTCTGTAAGGCTGTGTTTCTCTGCGCTATGGTCTGTGGTCTATGTTTCTCTGAGCTGTGGTCTGTGAGGCTGGTCAGAAAGTGAAGCTGAGGAGCAGATAATCCGCCTAATTGAGCCACAGGGGGACAGATCTCCTCAAATCTGAGCAGCACTGGGACAACTGCACCCACTCCCCCAAATACACACACACACACACACACACACATAAACTCTCATTAAACACTCATACTCTCTCTCTCTCTCTCTCTCTCTCTCTCTCTCTCTGCTCTAATACACTTTATCTCTCTCACTCTCTCTCTCTCTCTCTCTCTCTCTCTCTCTCTCTTACATTCATTGCTCTCCCATACACCCTTACACACTCTCAGAACACCCTTACACATCGTGACCACTCTCATTCACTCACACCCATTCTTATTCACTCGCACACGCATCCCCAAACTCTCAGACTCTCACACACTCACACTCTTCACAGCACAGTGGTCATGGTGTGGTTCATTCTGATCTCTCTGCTCATTCTGAACACTGCTTTCTAAACCCCCCTCTTGTGGAAAATGGTGGAATAATTTCTGCATTATAACTGAGATTCTGAGTGTGTGTGTGTGTGTGTGTGTGTGTGTGTGTGTGTGTGTGTGTGTGTTTTGCCTACATTACGTTGGTGTCACTAACAACAATGCAGCTTGAGGGTGGCCTCGTGTTAATGAGAGGCTAATAAAAAGAGCAGGACTAATCATAACAACAGCACAACAATCAACATCAACATTATTGTTTATAAAAAAGAAGTGAAAAGAGGATTCACTGTTTTAGCCTAAATAAAAGGAAGTTACCTGGTTGCCTTACATTCTGAGTTCAATCAATTTCACATATTAAGTTATCAGAATGTAAAACAGAGATTTTGTTAACTTGCTATTAGAAATCAATGGATCCAAAATAGGCTACTTAACTTTTTGAATCATTTTTAAGGTGAATGATTGATCGCATTATTTTTTTTTGTCATGTCATTTATTTATTTATTTACTTATCTGCAGTGCTTAATTTGTCACTGAAAACTGTTTAAGACAGAGCTTTTCTATTTTATCTCTTTCACATCAGCTCTGTGTACTTTCTTTCTGCAATATTTTACGAAGTGGTGAAATGTTAGTCTTTATAATCACTTAAAATATTTCATATTAACTCCAGTCTGAAATCTGTGGAATACGCATGTGATTTATATGTGATTTACACACTGCATAGTATTATAGTATTATATATGTATTATTTTTGTATTATATATGTAATATAATATTATATATATTTGCAATAAAATACACGTGCCAAAATGTGTTGACGAAGCTACAGTTTCAGTTCAGGATTTTCTCCTGTTTGGTCAATAATAATAATAATAATAATAATAATTATAATAATATTAAGAGTGTCGAGTTGAAGAGTACATTTATTCTGAACAGATTTCACAGTGTAGCTTCCAGCTGCACGTGCACCACTGATTTTATTATTTTTATTAAAATGCTGTGGTGTGAAAATCCATCGCGTGTGTGTTACTGAAAATATGTAAATAAATAAATAATATTAAATCCATACTTTAGCAGAAATAAACTGAGCAGGATGGGAAAATAGTATCATTGTCAGCAAAAGAGACTGAAGGAGCTCCTCCAGCCCAGCTGTGTGCAGGAGAGACTTCTTCCTTGTACAGTAATCCTCATTAACCAGCTTTCCTCATTGACTTATTCTGCTATATCATTTGGTGCGCGTTACCTGCGTATTTTAGAGTGAAAAATATGATTTGTAGTTTGTGTTCTCACATTTTTCCCCCTCTTTTGTCCATTTATATTAACCTTTAAACAGTAATGTGGGTTGACGTTGGGCTGACTTGCTATTGGAGGTTCGGTTAGTTGTACTGATTTTAATGAAACCAGCTGATGGACTTTTTAACCTCGCAAAATATTTTTTTCACTGCACCTCATGCAAAATCCAAATTACAATATTCAGTCCTATTTTCATCTCTGCAGTTTCTGTATACTTTAATACTTCGCAAATACAGTTTTTGTATTGACTTGCACTTAGATGGGCTTGTCCACTTAGAATCCCCAGCGTTATTGGGCTTCACTTATTATCAGCTTAACATTATAATGTTATTAGTTCTATTCCTTCTGTTTCATTTGAAATGTACATTTTTTAAAGTATATTTCTTTATTTACATGCTGAGACCACTGTGGACCACCAAATCCATTATTTGCACAATTTTCTCAGTAAAATTATCTTAAATACAAAAATTTGACTTTTAAATTCGTAAAGAAAAATTGTTTTTAATTCTGTTATATTTTTTATTGTTTGTACTTTCGTATTGTTTTCACTGTCAGAAAAAGAAGCTTCTGATCTTATGATAATAAATGCGTGTGCGTTGTGTTCACTTGCTATTGGAGTTTAATCTAAATGAACTATATTAACTATAATAAACTATATTAACTATAATAAACTATATTAACTATAATAAGTCGTATTTTTTCTTTGTATATTCTGTCGGAGTTAGAGCTGCTGTGGATCTTGTCTATGACTATAATGAAATATAATATTACACTGTGCTCGTACCTCAGTGAGGAGGAGTTGCTGTGGTGATGATAATAATGCGGTTTATATTGTTTTCGCTCCTCGCGCTACTTTGCGCATTTGTTTACCTTTGTACTCGCTGTCTGAGGAGGAGTTGCTGTGGATCTTGTCCAGTATGAAGTCCTCCTTGCTCGCGGTCCTGCCCGGCTCGTGCTGCGCGGTGCTGTAAGGTGCGCACGCGGCCAGAGGCTTGCAGTCTGCTAATATGTCTCTGATGAGGAAGGAGGAGGTGACGGTGCGCGGCGGAGCTCCGGGCAGCCCGAGTAGCGGCCGGCGGGGGGAGGGGGGCGAGGAGCACGCGCTGCTGTCCCGCTCAGGGTCCCGGTCAGCATCGGAGCCTGGACTCAGCTCCAGCGGCGAAGAGGAGCAGCATCCACCACCTCCTCCACCACCTCCTCCTCCTCCTGCCCCCTCGGCCTCTCCGTCCAGCAGCGCCGGGGGGCCGCGCGACAGCAGAGAGTCGATACCGAAAGCGGAGCCCGAAGCGCCGGGCGCCTCCATCACCAACAGGCAGAAAATCAGGGGCTCATCCGAGGAGAACTGGAGGAGTTTGGGGGGCTGAGGGAGGAGGTTGGGAGGGGAGGGGCGGGCTAAAATAATAGTAATAATAATAACGATTGAAAAAAAAAAACAATTATAAAAAAAGATATAAGAATAATAAAATAAAAACCAAAAAATTAAATATTATTTAAAAACAAAAATAAAAAAATAAATAAAATGAAAAATGGGAATTAAAAATAAAGTAATATTCTAAATATTAATTAAATAATAATAAATAAAATACAATTTAAAAAAGAAAAAGAAAACAAATATTATTCAATTGTAATTTAAACGAAAATAGAAAATTAAATAATTACAAAAATATCCTGAATTAATGTAAAAAAAATACAAATAAAAATAACAAAAATGACACCAGGTGGGATTTATTCGCGGTCTATCCAGGAGGAAAATCCAAAACAGGTGCAGGTGGAGTTGCTGTTCATCCAGTGGCTGGGAAAAGTTTCTTCTTCCTTCAAGAGTTCCGACTTTTTTCTGGCCTTAAAAATGTAAACAAAAAGCAATCTGTGTTGCAGGTTTGCAGTATGAACCAGATTCCCACTCAGCGTCCAGTCTCTCTGTTTTTCTCCTGTAGCTCCTCGATCTTCAGTAAAAATAAAAATCAATAGAGTCTGAATCTCTCTGGAGGCGCGTTTAATTGCTGTTGTGTTTTTTCTGAGTCCTGGTGTTTCTCTACGAGCCGATGGAGAGTCTGAATTATTTATAAGACGATTTCAGATGGATCATTGCGGATGTAAACACACACACACTCACCCATCACGCGCACACAGACACTCACACACTCAGGTGGAAAAGCCCGGACACTGCAGCGCGAGACGGCGGAGACGATAGCAGAGGGCAAAGAGAAGGAGGAGAAGAGTGGGCCGCAGAAAGGAGGAAGTGCAGCTTAAAGACTCGCATCAGCTTCTGAGCGCGAGGGACGGAAAAAAGCCTTAAAAATGAACTTTGTGCTGAAAGTGAGCTCATGTAGGGGGGTTTTTAAAGACGCCCCTGTCACGTGGGTCCCCGGCGCGCTCTCCTATTGGCTGAGCGCTGTTTTGGGGTGGTGACTGCAGGAGTGTTGGACCCCCCCCCATCCACACACACCCCTCCCTCACTTTGATTAAAAGAGACACTGAGTTCATTAGGAGACTCGGATCCAACTGTTTACGGGGCAATTTTCAGCCTGTTTGCTCTCGTGACGTCACCGAGGAGGTTTATAATGGGCTTATAATGGAAGGGGGGGGGGGGTCTCCCACGGCCTTCATATACTTCTACGCTCAGACTGGGTCGTTTTTCTTTTCTTTCTTTCTTTCTTTTTTTTATTTTATATTATTGCAAACGCAAAAAGAGGCTTATTCTCAGAGGAGTCTGAGTTTTTTGTTTGTTTTTTATTTATAGACATTCAAAAAAGTGTGCTTATTTCAAATTCAGGCTAGTTTTATACGATTTATTTGGTAGGATAATGGAAATATTTATTTAAGCAAACAAACAAGCGAATAAGTAAACAAACAAACAAGTAAATGCATAAATAAACAACTGGAAATATTTCAGTGCTTTTAAAAGCCATTGAGCATTGAAACATCCCATTGAAGGCTGTTGAGAGTGCTTATAGTTCAATTTCAGTGCTAAAACTTTATGGAAGGAGCATTTAAAGATGAAAAATAAACAAATAAATATTATATTATTATTATTATTATTATTATTATTATCATTATCATCATTATTATTATTATCATTAATAATAATAATAATAATAACAACAGCAACCACTTATAATAATGGTTTTTTGATTTAATACTGTATAACCATATCCAGTATAAACTTTGCCGGGCCTGTTTGATGGTGAAACTTCAGAGAGCGATCAAAGAGCTCGTGCGGTATAGTCGCGTGTTAATGAGTTATAATGGGAGGCAGCTTCTCTTTCTGAAAGCGCAGCGGGGAACGCTAAACTCCGGCGCGTCTGAAACGCTGTATTGTCCTCCTTTCACGTCTTTCTCTGAAGCAGTTAGCCCCTGGTGACTTCTCGACAGGTCCCAATAATCTCCCCCCTCCCTCCCCTCCGTCAGAGCAGCAGATTGGAGGCGCTGTCCGGCCTGGAGGAGCTGCTCCCTCTCCCAGCGCTCCCAGCGCGGCTGCAAGCTGTCACACACACACACACACACACACACACACACACACACACACACACACACATGGGAGCAGACAGCCACTCTGCAGTTTTTACACTTTTACTGTCCTGCTTTAAGGGGCCAACTATATAAACAGAGAGAAAGAGAGAGAGAGAGAGACAGAGAGAGAGAGAGGTGTAGTTGTTCATACATACTGTGTACAGTACTGCACAAAAGTCAGAGACCACCCTTCATTTATTTTATTTCCAGTCAAGACAGCCATTAAGTTCAGGTTATTCATTTTTCAGCCTCAGGAAAAAGACAGGAAACATATATTCAATAGACAATTATACAGAAGCCTCAACGACTAAATATATCATCAAAAATATTCAGAGTCCACCTTTAACTCTTATTACAGCTTCCATTGTTTTTGGGACACTTGCTTTCAGTTTCTCAAAGAAATCTGCTGGATATTTTTCACACCTCCATTGTGGCTGGATTTTCTACTTTTCACAATCCAAGTCATTCCAAACAGATTCAGTGATGTTGAGATCTGGACTCTGGAGTGGTTAGTCCATTGTTCTGAGAACACCAGCAGCTTCTTTGTTTGATTTTCAGATGTTTAAGGCTTATTTTTTTCCCACATTTTCTCCTGTTCTCAGTGACGCTTCTTGACAGCTCTACATCCTTTCAGACTCATAGTGCTGAGTTGTCTTCTCAGAGTGGAAGGATGGACAGAAACCCCTCTGGATGTTTTCAGATCTGAAGCAGCTTGATTTTCTCCTCTCTCTTAAAGATGAAGGTTTTAAGTGCTTGGGACAGTTTTGGTGTCTACCAGTGTTCCACAGTTGTTAGGAGTCCCATTTTCTTTACATCTTTTAATCATTTATTGAACTCCACATCTGGAAACTCCTGATTTTTCAGCTGTTTTCCACTGTCTTTCAGGAGATGCAAGTGTAGTCTCTGGCTTTTGCACAGTACAGAATATCTACATATGTGTTTACAAATCATCTTTGTAAAATCCTTGATAACTGATTTAGTTTTGGACAAAAAAGGAAACTTATATTTTTACATTTTACCCATTAAAATCCCAAGATTGTTACATCCTGGTGCTTATTAATCAACCACTACATGGAAAATGTTAACTGAGTTATTCTTATAGGTATATATTATAGGAATGAGAAACATAAGCTGGTGGCTCCTGGCCATTTGAGGAGGCAAATGAGCAGCTTTTGCTTCCTTTCGTTTTTACTGTTTGTACTGTCTCTGTGCAAGATTTCTTAAAGGGCCCATATCCTACACTTTTCTTGTATTTTATTTTTTTATTTTTTATAATAAAATGGTCATTATTTCTTTTACCTACCCATTTTCCAATCTCTCTTTCCCTTAGAATTAAACTCTTATTGAGCCTTTAAGACTGATATAGGATAAATAAGCTCTGTTCTGATTGGCTGTCCTGTTTTATGCCTGATTCAAGAAACACTCAGTGCTGAAACACTCAGCACAACCTCAATATTGTAGCATCAGTGAAAAAGAAGATGCAGAAAACATTGCACTTTAAAGACGAATGCTCTTTTACTGAACAAGCAGCAACGGGAGTGACTTGCTGCAGGGAAGCAGGCACATCAGTTCTAACCATATGACTCTCCTTTATGGTAGACACTTGAGCAGTCGGCAACCCAAATGTTAAGAAGAGCCATTTTGTCCTTTCAACAAAAATCAAACCACCTTGGGAGCCACGACACTTTCTGTCCATTTTTACCATCTTGGCTGTAAATATGTCTTAGTATATGTTGATGTTCTAGTATAGCCTAAAAATATAAAATAAACGAAAACACAGGCTTACTTTGCTCTGCTTTAAGCTTTAGCTCAGCTATAGTCAATTTTCTCGCATCTCCGGCAAAAAACTTTTTTGCAGAACTAGAATATTTTTTGTAAAATGTCTCACAATGGCTTTCTCAATTCGCCAGCATTCAGATTTTTGCATTCCACCTTAAATGGTGCCTGAGGTGTCAGAATGTAACTGCTGCATCATTTAAGGTGGAACAGGAACATTTAAACAAGAAGCTGGCGAATGAGATGCTGACTACAGCTTCACGACTTTTGAGTGTTTTTAGTGTTCTCACTGCAGATTAAACATATCGGGAAACCAGCTGGAGTGATTATAAATGCAAATAAGTCTATTTGTCTCCAACTTATCAATGTTCATCTTAATTCTTTCTCTTTGCCTTTTCGTTAGCTACTAGCTAGGCGAGATTGTTGTCTGTGTTGCTATGTGACCAGCAGTCTGCGTGCCAACCATCAGAATTAAAGGTTGGTTCGCAGTAACACATTAACTCCAGCACTTAAGACTGTTTATTGTTAAAACTGTTTTGGGTTGTAAATCTGAGGGGCTTTATTTTACTGCAAAGGTAAATTGTTTTACTATTGCCAAAAAATCGAATTCTGTTGTGGAGCCACAACAGGGCAGTAAAAGAGCCACATATGGCTCTGGAGTCACATGTTGCTGACCCCTGCACTATACCCACACAAACCACCTCACAACCTGACACAGAGTAACACATGCAACACATGTACACATATCAACTAACCTGAACAACTTAAACTACGAGCATTAAAGTCTCTCCCATCGTGAGCATAGCGCCTCCTGAGAGCCTCTTTGCATGGCTGCTTTGCATGGCCATGCCTTCTGCGCTCCTAAGGCAGTGGCAAGTGGTGTTATGCCCCAATATAAATGGGCGGGGCTAAACTGCTGTATTCAGTAACATGACTCAACAGGTTCAAGCTTAAATAACTTTATATTGAACTATGATTACTTTCTACTTTTCAGTGATCCACAGCAAGTAACATGAAATCAAACAGAGCAATACTTTTAAATGGCTTCAACTGAGCTGGCAGTCTGTTTTCC